TCTGTCCTCGCTGTTTACCGCGGGAGCTGTCTGCGGACACGCGACACAAAAACAGCCCGGTCCGTGTACAAGGACCGCGTGCATATCTATCAGCTGGGCTCAGCCTCAGCTCAAAACGTCCATCAGCGACCTGCGGCCACCACCACCTCCTGCTTTGCACACACACAAAAACACACACACATATATATATAACCCCCCTCCTGCGCCCTCCTGTTTTTATAAAATGTTTTTATTATTCACCTTCGCTGCTTGATTTCTCCTTTCTCCTCCAGCGGAGCTTGATCAGGTGCGCTGTTTCTGCCCCGCTCCGGTTGCCCTGTCTGGGTGGCTCGCCAGCCGGCGTCGGGGTGCTGCTGCGCGGGCGGGCGGCCGGCGGTCAGCAGCGGCAGGAGGAGCAGCAGGAGGAGGAGGTGGTGGTGGAGAAGGAGGAGGAGGAGGAGCAGCGGCGGCGTGCGGGTCTCTCCGGTGGTGCTCGCCTTGCAGAGAGAGCGGTCATACGCATAGCGTCGGAGCGGATCTGAATCAGGTAGCAAGAGGAGGAAGGGGAGGGAGGGAGGAGGGAGCGGGGGGTGAGAGAGAGCGAGCGAGCGAGAGATTTAAAAGCGGCCGTGTTGAGACGCTTCAAATCGCCGTATCGGGGTTAAACTGAGAGCAAATAACGTGCACAAACACACACACGCATGCGCCTGCAAGCAGGAAAAACAGACCTGCTGAACATAAGCAGAGCTACGTTAATTAACACACGCGCGCACCACAGTGGACCTTTGAATGAGGGGGAAGAAATAGTTTAATCAAAATCGTCCTGAGGTAAAGAAAAAACAAACACGCAATGAGCGTTTACTGATTGTGCATTAGCGCTTAACAATAAGTGTGTAATTACAGCGCTGCCAAGCGTTGATTTGAAAGGCAAAAGTCGATTAAAATGCCAACAATCCTTTGTTGTTGTTACGTGCACACGGTATAAATGCCGTTTCTCAGACTGGGCTGACTTGGGCGCATGATGGACGTGGTTGGTTTATGGACACCTGTATGCAGCTGGAAAGCACGAAGACAGCAGACGGCTTGATGCATGCTCAATCATCCAGGTAAGGAAATCCTAGAAAGTTCATTCTCTTCATTCATTTCTTCATTTTCAGTGGAAGAAACGTTTTGTCACTCATCTAAGTGACTTCTTCAAACAGTAGAAGTCACATGGTGACCTTCAGTCACTTGGTTACTGAAGAAGTCCTCTTAAGAAGTTCAAGTGACTTCTTCACAACGCAAAACAGAACCACCTTAACTGCATCTTTGACACATGTAGGAGTAGTGTTTCTAACTGTGCAATTCCTCCTGATGTGTCAGCTCCTCACCCGCTTTTGGAGGCTTAGAAAATTCGTCCGAGATTTCATGACCTGAGGTGAGGGTCGGGACATAAAGCTACACCAGGAAAGTTCAGTACAGCATCTGCAATACTGCTGATGGTGCACCAATCTGTCAGTCATATTCGCACTCCACCTTTTCATCACTTGTGAGTGAGACCTCAAGATACATGAAGTCCCTTGCTTGAGGCATGCTATTTCTACGTATTTCTACGTACAAAGTAGGAGCATTCCACCATGCTGAATCTCATCCTAGCTATTTCACACTCAGCTGCAATGTGCTCCAGTGCACACTCTGAAGATGCCAACAGCAACACATCATTTGCAAAAAGCAGAAATGCTATTCTGAGTTCCCAAAGCAGAAAGGCTCCTTATCCTGGCCATGCCTTGAGATCCTGTCCATGAAAATCAAGGACAGGATTGGGACACCATGCTCCTACAGTATAGCCGTCAGGTGCCCCAGGGACCTTTGTAAGGGCGTAAGTCTTCTCCAAATCTACAAAACATATATAGACTGGATATTCAAACTCCTGTGATTCCACCAGTGGTCCTACAAGGGTGAAGATCTGGTTAACTGTTCCATGGCCAGGAAGGAATCCCTTTTGCTCTTCCTGAATCAAAGGTTCAACAGTCTTCCAGGGTCTCTTTTCCAGCACCTAAAATAAACTTTCCTTCGAAGGTTGTAAGTGGCGCACACCCTGCAGTCCCCCTTTGTTAAAAGGGGAACCATCATACTGGTCTACCTCTTTACATGCACAGTCCCAGACCTGCATGCAACATTAAAGAGATATGTCAACCAAGACAGCTCCAGAATGTCCAGAGTCTTTAGGATTTAAGGGAAAATCTCACCCAAAGCACCAGGGAGCTTTCCAATAACCCTAATCTACAAGTAATAATGTAACTGGTGACACTTCCACTAAGTCCTAAGGCTCTGCCTTCTTTACAGTGGGAATTTTGGCTGGGTAGGATAGGAGTTCCTCAAATGCCAGAAGTTCTCCTACCCAACCAATTCCTGAATTGCCGCTCACCAAAACTTCTTTGAGGCCTGCCAAAAGTCCTCCCCCTAGCCTTCCTGAACGCTTCTGTAACTGCCCTTTTGGCCTTCCAATACCTGTCTGCTGCTTTAGTAGACCCCCGGCCCAACCGGTCCCATAGATGAAAGGAGGCTTATGGAATTACACGAAAGCCCGGGTCATATTTAGGACCACTGTCTAAATGGTGTACAAGTTTACAGATATAGATTTAGTCTTCCTCCTATTTACCCTACAGGTAGCATTTACCAATTCACTCACATGCATACAGAGCCTTTGTTTTTTGTACTTTTAAGTGTCACACACATTCTTACAGATGCAATGGAGTTTGAGCTTTACCATCCAACCCAACGGCAATCGAAATTTAGACCGAGGGATGTGAGGACTGCACCACCTGGTCTAGCTCTGCCTGACCTACAGCCACTGAGTGCCTCTTATGTTTATACATTTAATTGCTTTTGTTGGCTGACAGGCTGGGGTATCAAGCATTTTTGGACAGAATGGAGCACTTGCCAATGCCTGAGAAATCAAAGTCAAACAGAGTCATCCGTGGATTGAATAAATACACCTTCCACAATTGGAGTTAGAGGCTTTAAATGCTGCTCGCAGACAGCAAACAATCTCACCTCGTGTTCCATTTATCAGCCGCTCTGGAGCTTTCAGTCCTTTTACATGATCTCCAGCTTTCATTTGTTTGTGGAAACCTGTGCACGGCTTGAAAAATGAACGCTCTCTCTGTATACATATACATATACATACATATTTTAATTTTAAATCCAGAACAAGCCATGACAAATCCCAAGGGCTCATAAAGCATAAGAAAAAAAACAGTGATTATTCTTTTCTTGCTTTCCTAAACTGCTTTGCCTTTCACGCTTCTTCAAGTGAAATCAACCAAAAAAGGAGATAAAACACAGTTGAACTCCTCACAACTCATGCTGCACTAAATCTATAACCATGAGTCAAAAAATAATAACAACAATAATAATGCTTTAGACGAATAATGACGGAATTGAGAGCCGGTCCAGTCAAATCTTTTGCTTTTAATGTGTTTTCTTTTCACAGGAAGGGGGGTGCAAATGGACTGGCTTAAAAATGTAGTGGCACAGCATTCCTCTCGCAGACGATAACGCATCTATTTCGCTCAAAGTACTGCCCGGACATGCTCTCAAAAATTCGCCTCGCACTTAAGCGTCTGCGCTTCGGCTCTCTCAGATCTCGATCTGCTGACTGATTTGCGCTCAAATTTCAGCTCAGTCAATAAGGAGAGCCCACATCTAATGGAGAGCTGGAGCTCCATTTGTGAGATAGTGAGACAGAGAGATCTGCATTAATAAGGTGGAGAGTCAGAGCGAGCGACACGCGCACACTAACACAGATACAAGGAGAGTGACAGGCAGACGTACACACACAGACACTGGCAGCGCTCAGTGCAATAGTAATTTGTTTACAGTTGATTAAATATTCATGCTGAATTAGCGGTGAGCCTGCCAACAGTCACTTCATTTACGCCCCGTGTGTGTGTGTGTGCCCTTCTCAGCCTCAGCCTTCCTCCACCTGTAAATGTGTTTTTTTCTTGTTGTAGTTGTTTGTTGGCTTGAGGAAAAAAAGACAAGACACAAGCACAGGCATGCGCTCACACCTGATGAACTCCCCTGACGATCAGGTGATGGCCTTATTTTATTCGACTCTTTCCTCCGGTTGCCCTTGACAACAGTGAGAAAGAAGGAAGGGCGAAAGGATGGAGATGAGGGAGGGAGGAAGACGACCGAGGGCGAAAGAAATAAAACACATGATCGGTGTCAGCTGAGAGTATGGGACTTGTTTTTATAGTATTTCCATGAGGAATTGTTCTGGAGCTGGGGTTAGAGATAAACACTTCACTGTGGGACATATGCGGTGAGTATTTTATCGATCGCTTAGTAGCATTGAGCCTGTTGGAAGCCTGAGACAGAGGTGTTTTATCTGTTCCTCTGGCATGGCCAAAAAAATCAAGGTGACGGAGCCCTGCAGATATGGCATGAGCTGCCTGAGGTAATCAGATCAGCAGAGTCAGTGACCTCTTTTAAATCTCTCCTTATCACATACTTTAATTGGAGAGCCTTTCCAGATTCATTTCTCTTTTAATTGATCTGTTTAAATGTTATCAGTAACAGTAGGAGGGAGGACCTTTATAGTGTGCAGTAAAAACCCAAGAATATTGCAGAAAGGACCCCAATGATCACACAGTCCCCAGAAAGCAAGCACTTGGCAACTGTGGGGAAGAAGAAAGCCTTTTAAACATGGCTCAGAAAATTGGGAAGCACATCTATTCTGTTTCAAAGAATAAAAGCTGTTTTCTTTTTCTCTTCTTTTGTCCAGAAAATTGTTTCAAATTCAGATATATCCAGCTCCCAGTGTGTTGAAGATTTGGCCACTAATTTACATTTCTACAGTTTATGGCTCTGTTCTAAGACCACCATCCCAAGGCTCTGATGTACAAAAATGGAAAGGTGAACAGCGGGAATACACTGCGCCTGGCTTCCCAATTTAGCTGTGATGCAGCCACTGGAGCTGACTGCACCCACCCAAGACAATTCCCGCAATTCCGGTGTTGCAGAAGCGGCGTCAAAGACATGCATTAATTATATTCCCATGCTAAGGCAGCAGATCTGCAGTAATAACCCTGTACAGAGCAGAGAAGACACCAATACCAATAGACCTAACAAACATGGAACTAGGTTGAAGGTGGGTTGCAAAGGTGCTTGCAAGAGAGAGACCTATGCACAGGCTAAAGCTGTTTAAGTTGCATACCCTATATATGCTGCTGTGATCACTTCGAGACCGCCTTCGAAATGAGGACATCCAACAGAGATAAGATAACCAACCGCCAAACGAGGAGCAAGTTTGACAGGAGTTGGTGTGGTAGCTGACTACCACACCAACTCCTCTGGCGTAAACAACCCAACCAATGGAGAATCCCACAAACGGCAACGAAGAAAACATGGCTAAAACAGGTTGAAGATGACATCAGAGATCGCTGAATAAATCTCGACGAGGCCAGGACAATCGCCAACAATCGCCATGCATGGAATTGAGTTGTAAAGGAAATTCGACAACCACTGGCACCCACAGTAGCGTATAGGCTTAGGAGCCAATCCAGGCCTAATGCCAGCTACGGATCAAAGAAAAGAAGAAGACACCTGAAGCCACACAGCTGTCAAGCTGGTTACCCCCATGAACCAACACTTTTAAACAGTAGGAGTGATCTTAATTATCATAACGTCATACACTGCACACACAAATATGACACACAATTCTTGTT